ACTGTAAATTCTACTTTGAATTCACAGTACCTCTCCCCACTAAGCAGTATAAATACCTCTTACTAACCTAGTTTCCTCAATTCTTTGAGTAAGTTAAGGAACCTCATTTTTTTTCCACTCAGATTTGTAGCCTAGGTGGGATGAGCACTGGCCATAAATCAGAGTGGAAAAAATGAGCTTTTCTAATTTACTATACTGACTGAGGAAATAAGGTTAGGAGGATGTTTATTATATCTCTGGGTTCAAATAAAGGGGAAACAGTACAACTCAAACAAAATTTTGAATTTGGCAGGCCATACAATGAAATGGGACCCACTAATCATAGGACACATACTGGTACACATACTGACTGAGAGACAAGACCAATTGATATTAAAATACTACAAGAGAAACTAGATAAATCGGATCAATATCAGTATCTGGGCAACTGCCCACCTACCCCTCCCCGAACTCAACAATAGTCAATTGATAACAACTCAGGGTTAATGTTGGGTTAGGGGAGGGGTAGGTGGGCAGATACTGATATTGATCTGATAAATCACTGGGGTTGCTTGCAATGATCTAACAACTGTAATACACCTTTTTTTTAAAGCTTCCGCCTCTAACCCTTAGACCCCTTAGAGAGATTAGCATCTAATTTCTCCTTAAATATCACCCCTAAATCACACATTATGAGCATGAGAATAACAGAAATAATCACCAGTTAAAGGAGCTCTTGATTTTTAAACAAATATTCCTTGTCAGCACCTTAGGAAAAGTAAAGAGAACAGTATGAAGAATATGCATACTGATTTTGGGGTGTAAAAAAGGTTAAAAGCTTCTAGTTGAGACAGATTTCTGTTGCAAGAAGCAAGACAGAGCACTGCAATATCTCCTTTGAACAACTGTAATATTCACCCAGGTGCTACAGAAAGTGGGATAACTGCAAAAGCAACAGGCTACCAGGCTTTTCACTCTTAACCCTTGAACCCCTAACAGTGACAACCATCTGCTTTCTCCTTTTAATATCACCCCTGAATTATATACGTTAAGATCATGAGAATAAATGAAATGATCATCAACTAAAGAAACTCTTGATTATTGAACTAATTCTCCTTGTTAGCATCTTTGGGAAATGTATAAAGAGCATTTTGGAGATTATGCATCCTGATGTTAGGATGTAAAGGGTTAACCTACTCTGAGAGATTCTCAACTGAATGCTTGGAAATCTCTTACTCTCACAAGGTGTAAACCTGCTTTATTGGTTTTTTTCTGATAGCCACTTGGATCCTGAATTATTCAAAGTGGTAGCCAATTAAAAAAAAAGTTGGTTGTCATTTTCAAAGACAGCATACAACATTCAAGCTCACCTAAATCCAAGATGGCGTCTACTTATCAATCAAGATGCATGTGCTGCATTTTGGAAACAAACTTAACAAGGAAGTTTGCCACAGATTTACCTTTGCAAATCTTTTTAATTCACTATATCTCTTTGTAAGGTTATGATGAAACATTCTAGTCACCAATTTGGTGACTAATTTTCAGGATTTGGTCACCAAAGTGAAAAATTTAGTCGCCCTGTGGTGTCACACTCACTTTTGATCGGAAACCTGATAGCACTCATAGTGATACAGCTGGTTCTCTGTCTAAAGTTTTTTGAAAGCTTTTGTTGAATGTCCTTCAGGTCGTCACTTTACTATCAGTCTTGCCCTCCCAGGCTCTATTCTGGATAATGCACAATCACCAGAATTGAGGACATACTTAGCAGGCCAGGTATGGTTAAAGGATATATTGTGCATTTGGTAGAAGACTCCATTAATTTGATTGTAAGAGATAAAATTTACAAATGTAAAGATACAATTGCAAGTGTCAAATGAATCTAGACAAAAGTAATTATTATTGTATGACAAAGTCCAGATCTCTACTTGAAATGAACAATATGACTGTTCAGATTGTTTTTTGCCAATGTAGTGTAAGTTTGCAATGACTTTGTGTGAAGAAAGACTACATGTAAAGGCTACGTGTAAATTGCAACTGACCTTCATAAATGATCCAAATTTTGTTCACTCTAACAATGGAGTATAAGAAGGCTTACAACTATCCTGACTACTCCTTTACAAGCTTTTTAAAACATAATTTCTTGCCTCAGACACTAGATTTTTATGGTATACAAGCTGACACAAAATAAAACTGTTACCCATTCTTGATGAGGAATTTACTGTTCAGTTGTGTTTCCCTTGCTCTAAGTGTTATACAAATGTGGGCTGATATAACTATTGGTGTTTTGCCATAGATTGCTCGTGCTCTAGCAGTTTTCAGTATAGATGAAGTTGTCGTCTTTGATGAGTCAGGAAAAGCTAAGATTGAATCTAGCAGTGGATTAAACCACAAATCAGACCCCAATATTTTGCTGGCAAGGATACTTCAATATCTGGAATGTCCCCAGTACCTCAGAAAAGACTTCTTTCCAA